CACCGTCTCCGCCACTACTGCCACCACCACCACCACCTCCACCACTAGTCCCGCCGCCACCCCCACTCCCTCCGCCGCCACCACCGCCACTGCCACCGCCCCCTCCAGCTCCACCCGCGCCCTTGCCCCCCTTGCCCTTGCTGGAGCGACGTCTCCCACTAGGGGCAGACGCCGCGCCAACCGACTCAAGACCAAGCAGGTCGGCAGCAGCAGCAGAGGCAACAGAGGGCAGCAAGGGGGAAGGAGAGCACCCCTCAAAGATGGGGGTGCGAGGGTCACCACGAGAAGCACCTACAGCGACTATGCTCTTCTCCGCTGCGAGGAGGGCCTTCTCGAGGAGGTCGACGGTGAGGGTGGTGGGACAGACTGCGAGAAAGTGGTCCCTGACGACGCGAAGGGAGTCAGGGAGGCGCGCGACTACGTAGTAGAGAGCGATGTACATGGGGGGGGGTTCTTAGCGCAGAACTCAGCACGAAGGGCGGCGCGGTAGCGAGTGTCACTAGTGCGGAGGTGCGTAATGAGGTCAGCGACAGTGGGAAAGGCAGAGAGGTCAGGAAAGAGGTAGGGAAGCATGAGACGGCTCAGTGCAGCAGTGGCAGGGGAGGAGTAGCGCGCAACTACAGCGTCGTACAAGGTCTGAGCACTCTTGTACTGACTAAAGTGCGCACGCTCAGAGGTAGGGAGGTGGCGACGCACAGCAAGACGTGCAGCAGCATCGCGGGTGGCCCACTTAGAGCGCACAGCGGGATCAGCATCAGCAGCAGGAGCAGGAGAGGCGCCAGAGGTGAGATCAAAGAGAGAAAGGTCGTCAGCCCTGTCGCACTGTAAGAACAGCTGCAGGTCGTCTAACCAGACCTCAAAATCAATGGCGCGACCCTCAGCGTCAAAAGCTAGGACACTAGGGGTAGCCATGGCGACGATAGCGACGCAGTGCAAGCAGTAGGGAAAGAGCTCGCAGTGTCAGTGGGACTGTGCTCACCAGGCAGGGCAGGTCGTGCAGCTATGCAGAAAGGCGGCTCAGCGACCGGGCGGCTCGGGTGCAGGGCGGCTCGGCTGCTCGGCGGCTCGGGTGCAGGGCGGCTCAGTTCCCGGGCGGCTCGGCGGCTGGGCGGCTCGGGTGCAGGGCGGCTCGGCTCCCGGGCGGCTCGGCGGCAGGGCGGCTCGGGTCCCGGGCGGCTCGGCGTCGGGCGGCTCGGCTCACAGGCGGTTCGGCTGCTGGGGCGCCTCGGCCAGGAGATGCAGGGGCGGGGCCGTCAGGTGCAGCGGCGAGCCGGCAGGTGCAGTGGCGGGCCGGCAGGTGCAGGCGGCGGGCCGGAGGGTGCAGCGGCGGGCCGTAGGGTGCAGTGGCGGGCCGGCAGGTGCAGCGGCTAGGCCGTCAGAGGCGGCGGGCCGGCAGGTGCAGCGGCGAGGCCGTCAGAGGCGGCGGGCCGCTGGGTGCAGCGGCGGGCCGGCAGGTGCAGCGGCGGGCCGGCAGGAGCAGCGGCGGGCCGGCAGGGGAGGCGGCGGAGCCGCGTCAAGGGAGGCGGCGGGGCCGCGTCAGGGGAGGCGGCGGAGCCGCGTCAGGGGAGGCGGCGGGGCCGCGTCAGGGGAGGCGGCGGGGCCGCGCCAAACAGGCGGCGGGGCCGCGTCAGGCAGGCGGCGGGGCCGCGTCAGGGGAGGCGGCGGAGCCGCGTCAGGGGAGGCGGCGGAGCCGCGTCAGGAGAGGCGGCGGGGCCGCGTCAGGAGAGGCGGCGGGGCCGCGTCAAACAGGCGGCGGGGCCGCGTCAGGGGAGGCGGCGGAGCCGCGTCAGGGGAGGCGGCGGGGCCGCGTCAGGAGAGGCGGCGGGGCCGCGTCAAACAGGCGGCGGGGCCGCGATCAGGAGAGGTGGCGGGGCCGCGTCTGAGGGACAGCGGGGCCGCGAGGGAAAAGGCGATCCGAGGGGTCGCTAAAAAAAGGCGCGCCTCGGGGCGCGCTTCGGTGGGCCCTAAAAAAAACGGTCCTAAGGCAGGACCCGCTCTATACCATGTGAAGTAAGGAAAACAGGAATGAGTTTGACTAAGGAAAGATTGGGTACAAATACAACCCTAGAAACCCTGTACCCCATATGTGCTACCCCACTATAGCCTAGAAACATGCATCAGCTATAATACTCTGACACCATCTTGCTGCTAGTTCATTCATTCTTGTTTCTTACTCCTGACTACCAGAATCTTCTTAAATATTAGTCTTTGCTTACGATTGTTCAGCACAGATCGGTATGTGCGGTGGATGTCGTCTCCTTCGGAAGGGGGGTAGTGTTTCAGGGTCGTTGACTGTTCACCATGAATAGTAATGTCAACCCTATCGTCTTCTCATATTATAAGATTCCTTTGCGTCACATAACACTATAATTTTTAGTATTTTCTATTTGTTATTACATGCTATGTAAATAGTTTTCTTGTTAATAGTATCATTCAATTTTCAAATCTGTATCTTCTTCAGAAATAATATTCCGTTGTGTTTCATTCTAGGCTTAGACAAACGCAGATTTAGGCTTAACATCCTAGGTGGCTATGTTATTGTTGATTTGTAGCAGCCTAAAATTAGAGAATGACAAACTGCCTTGTTTTTATATACCTTTTTTTTGGGGGCCGCGCTTTAGGACGCAATGAAATATTAGAGATTTCCCCAAACAGAAAACAGCTTGTATTTTCTGAATAGACAAGGAAAATGGAGAAATTATCTGCTCCAAGTAATCTGACCCGAGCGCAAAGTTAGGCGCTGCCAAAACCGTTGCGTAAAGGAACCGGAAACTTGAAAACAGAGAAGTTCATCATTCCCTCGCCGATGATTGATTCAATGCAGGTTCAATCCGCAAGCAGGGACGTGTCACGTGTCACCAAACCGAGATTGACACTGACGACCGGGAGACCGGTGACCCCGGCCCGTCCAGCACGGCAAGGGTGACCGGCAGTTCCTGCCACTGCAGCTTGTTCGTCCGCTCAGGTTCACTTTTCGATCGAGATCGACGGTTCTCGCAATGCCAAAATTTCAAAGACCAGCGTTGAATACTTCGTGGCACATATTCATTCAGCAAAAATTCTGTCATGCGCCTTGTTCTATGGGGATGCAGCTATTTGACATTAAGGTTTCCGTTTCCATGTCTTTCTCAATTTCCATTCAGAAAATACAGCTTTCCCAAGAACTCTTTCCCAAGAACTCTTTCCTGCTCACATAGAACAGCAACACATCCAACTCTAGTACTATCATACCACTCCCAAGCTTTTGAGTCATTGGAGTCGCACGGAGTTGTGTCTCATTCCAGAAGCGGCGAAGTCTATTCGAACCAGCGACAGTTCTTGCTAGAAGTGGTTTCATTGCAAAAGTTATTTGTACTATGACTTTTTTGAACCAGCGCGAAATCTCCTGCAGAACCAGGACTCCAGCCATGGCGAGAAACGACAGCGCAGTGTCTCCGAGGCTATTCAGAGGCAGGGCTATGATTCTCCTCCTCGCCCTCCTCATTCCTGACCCCACCGGGTTGGAGACTGGCCGCACTGGCGGCGGCACCGGACATTTCGCAGAAGCGCTTCCCTTCATCGAACCATCGCAACGTAAGCTGGTCGCAGCTTCGCGTTGCGTAGCATCATGCGGAGGTGCTCCAAAGCCGGAACTTCTGGCAAAGCGGTGAAACCATAGCCGGATGGCGTGACCAAATATTCTCCTCCCCATCCGGTTTCATTCGGCTCTGTAGCATCCCTCTCCTTCCTGTCATATACATTTCTCGCCTGACTCCTCAACTGCAACTGCGTGATGCGCACCTCTCTCCTCCCCGCGGTCCTCCTCTTCCCCACTCTGTGCTATCTCATCCTGTGCTGCTCTTTACTCCCTACACTCAGCCGCCGCGATGTCACGGGCATTCATGCCAAAACCAAAAGGTCGAATTCTCCTCTCTCCCCGCGCATCCGCCTGTCACCCCTCGCTCTCCGCCTGTTTTCCTCTCTCTCTCTCTCTCCCCTCCTCAGTCGTCCTTCCAACCTCAGCCGCTCTCATCCCCGCCGTCTGCTCTGCTACTTGGAAAGCCGCCCTGTCCTCATCTCAAAAATGCCGAACCATCTGTTAACGGTGGTGGCAATATTTCGATTATCACAGGCTTTGGGGAGGGGGTGTTAATTTCTATCCACAGGCTGATGTGGCAAATGCTCGTTTTTGGTTGTGTTATGGCTGTTTTTCACTTGTGTTTGGCAGGGAATCAGCCGTGGCAGCGTAGGATATCGTGTCGCGCTCCGTTACATTTCACATCAACGGCCCAAACTCCAACTTTTTTTCGTGCGGTTGAGATCGATTTTGATTTGGCGTGATGTTGTCGTTGTAATCGGAACTAGTCATTGACTGTAAAATTTATTGGGCGAAACCCCCGTGTTTGCAAGCAGAAAACGTGGCATCTTCGTGCGGGAAGATTTTGTGTCGCAAGCAGGTGTATGTCACGGTTCTTGAAATCTCGTGACGCCTTGGTCATACGAAGTCAAAACGCACTGTGATATTTTTTGGGAGTGCGTGGTTTCTTCCTATTGGTCGCATCCAATTCGGTTCTCCAAACAGCACTTTTTCGCTGGCCAATATTTTGAACGACCGTATTGGCTAACGGGAATGTCGCAACGTCACTCGAAGTTCAAAAATCGCGAAGTGTAAAATTCACGATGCGATTTGACATGTGTGAGTGGAATGCGCGGCTCGTAAGTGCCCGTCCTTTTTCTTCGGGGGAATGCAGTGCAATACGACGCTGCACAATTGTAAACGCTTTAATAAACAAACAATTCGGTTGAGATGGGTATCGATTGAGAATGATACTAGAATGACGCGCCCTAATGCACACCCCTTCGACTTGAACCTGAATCTCAGCACTACATCTCACGACAACTAAAGTGTTCACACGCTTCACATCATCTCAACCAGGGGAGTATAATATTGATGCAAATCACTCATGCTTTGTTTTTCTTTTTGCCTTCAATACACAGAAATTAGTCCTGCATCCGCCACTATGGAATGCCCAGACTGTAGTTCGGGGCCTTTCTACGTGTATTCTGCTCTAGAATCGCATAGAGGTAGTGCGGCTTGCAGAATAGCTGCTGCATCCAGAGGCGCAGAGGCGTCAGATTCCCCACCAATCCAACCTCCCGCTCAACGTCGGCGCGTGTGGAGTCCTTCCAGCAGTGAAAACGTATTCGTACCACCTACGTTTGATGAGCCAGCCGATGAGGACGGTGTAGATGCGGCAGCCGCTCGTGCCGCCGATGATCCCGAGGCATTCATGGCACGCATGAGTGACTCGAGTGGGATCGACGAAGTTTCTCATATTCCCAACGGATCTAATCCGCGCCCCGCAGCTCCATTCTCCTTCAAGGATGAATTGGCACGCTGGATTCTCCAAGAGCGTGTATCTCAACGTTCGGTAGCTAAATTATTTAAGATTCTTAGCCATGAAGGCGCATCGTGGGATGACGTTGCGGAATGGAGATCTTCGCGAGATGTGTACCGACATGTGCAATCGAGAGTGGCTGACTGTGACCGTTCGTGGAAGAAGGGGGTCACTCGCGTTGGAACAAAGGCATTCTTGAACTTTTGGTACTGTGACACCTTGAAGGTATGTTGGAGTGTTTGCTCATGTTTTTTTCAGCGCCCCACTAATCCCTCATTCCCACATGGCTAAACATTTGCAGGCCCTACAAGATTTGTTGAGTGAACCAAGACTTAGCCATCCGCTTGTTACACGTGCGCATAGAAAGAGAGTGAGGGGCGTGAGGGTGTATGACGCCCCCGAAACCGGCAATTTTTGGAACGACGTGCAAGTGAGTGCCTCCCCATTCTACTTTGCACCTATCCCTGACCGTTCATAAATATTCCAGCACACCCCCTCTCTCCCTGCTCCCCATTCTGCCATGCCCGCCTTTCCCTGCCCCTCCCTGGCCGTCCTTAATTTTTTCCAGCACACCCACTATGTCCCTGCTCCCCATTCTGTTATACCACAATCTCCCTGCCATTCCTTCTCTCCCATGCGCTTCCCTCACGCGCCGGGCCCCGCATTCTGGTTTTCCAGTCCCACTCTACCTCTCCCTGCCATTCCTTCTCTCCCCTGCGCTTCCCTCTCGCGCCTTGCCCCGCATTCTGGTTTTCCAGTCCCACTCTACCTCTCCCTGCCATTCCGTCTCTCCCCTGCGCTTCCCTCACGCGCCTTGCCCCGCATTCTGGTTTTCCAGTCCCACTCTTCCTCTCCCTGCCATTCCGTCTCTCCCCTGCGCTTCCCTCACGCGCCTTGCCCCGCATTCTGGTTTTCCAGTCCCACTCTACCTCTCCCTGCCATTCCTTCTCTCCCATGCGCTTCCCTCACGCGCCGGGCCCCGCATTCTGGTTTTCCAGTCCCACTCTACCTCTCCCTGCCATTCCTTCTCTCCCCTGCGCTTCCCTCTCGCGCCTTGCCCCGCATTCTGGTTTTCCAGTCCCACTCTACCTCTCCCTGCCATTCCGTCTCTCCCCTGCGCTTCCCTCACGCGCCTTGCCCCGCATTCTGGTTTTCCAGTCCCACTCTTCCTCTCCCTGCCATTCCGTCTCTCCCCTGCGCTTCCCTCTCGCGCCTTGCCCCGCATTCTGGTTTTCCAGTCCCACTCTACCTCTCCCTGCCATTCCTTCTCTCCCATGCGCTTCCCTCACGCGCCTTGCCCCGCATTCTGGTTTTCCACTCCCACTCTACCTCTCCCTGCCATTCCTTCTCTCCCATGCGCTTCCCTCACGCGCTGGGCCCCGCATTCTGGTTTTCCAGTCCCACTCTTCCTCTCCCTGCCATTCCTTCTCTCCCCTGCGCTTCCCTCACGCGCCTTGCCCCGCATTCTGGTTTTCCAGTCCCACTCTACCTCTCCATGCCATTCCTTCTCTCCCCTACGCTTCCCTCTCACGCCTTGCCCCGCATTCTGGTTTTCCAGTCCCACTCTTCCTCTCCCTGCCATTCCTTCTCTCCCCTGCGCTTCCCTCTCGCACCTTGCCCCGCATTCTGGTTTTCCAGTCCCACTCTACCTCTCCATGCCATTCCTTCTCTCCCCTACGCTTCCCTCTCACGCCTTGCCCCGCATTCTGGTTTTCCAGTCCCACTCTTCCTCTCCCTGCCATTCCTTCTCTCCCCTACGCTTCCCTCTCACGCCTTGCCCCGCATTCTGGTTTTCCAGTCCCACTCTTCCTCTCCCTGCCATTCCTTCTCTCCCCTGCGCTTCCCTCTCGCACCTTGCCCCGCATTCTGGTTTTCCAGTCCCACTCTACCTCTCCCTGCCATTCCTTCTCTCCCCTACGCTTCCCTCTCACGCCTTGCCCCGCATTCTGGTTTTCCAGTCCCACTCTACCTCTCCATGCCATTCCTTCTCTCCCCTACGCTTCCCTCTCACGCCTTGCCCCGCATTCTGGTTTTCCAGTCCCACTCTTCCTCTCCCTGCCATTCCTTCTCTCCCCTGCGCTTCCCTCTCGCACCTTGCCCCGCATTCTGGTTTTCCAGTCCCACTCCTCCTCTCCATGCCATTCCTTCTCTCCCCTACGCTTCCCTCTCACGCCTTGCCCCGCATTCTGGTTTTCCAGTCCCACTCTTCCTCTCCCTGCCATTCCTTCTCTCCCCTGCGCTTCCCTCTCGCACCTTGCCCCGCATTCTGGTTTTCCAGTCCCACTCCTCCTCTCCATGCCATTCCTTCTCTCCCCTACGCTTCCCTCTCACGCCTTGCCCCGCATTCTGGTTTTCCAGTCCCACTCTTCCTCTCCCTGCCATTCCTTCTCTCCCCTGCGCTTCCCTCTCGCACCTTGCCCCGCATTCTGGTTTTCCAGTCCCACTCTACCTCTCCCTGCCATTCCTTCTCTCCCCTACGCTTCCCTCTCGCACCTTGCCCCGCATTCTGGTTTTCCAGTCCCACTCCTCCTCTCCATGCCATTCCTTCTCTCCCCTACGCTTCCCTCTCACGCCTTGCCCCGCATTCTGGTTTTCCAGTCCCACTCTTCCTCTCCCTGCCATTCCTTCTCTCCCCTGCGCTTCCCTCTCGCACCTTGCCCCGCATTCTGGTTTTCCAGTCCCACTCCTCCTCTCCATGCCATTCCTTCTCTCCCCTACGCTTCCCTCTCACGCCTTGCCCCGCATTCTGGTTTTCCAGTCCCACTCTTCCTCTCCCTGCCATTCCTTCTCTCCCCTGCGCTTCCCTCTCGCACCTTGCCCCGCATTCTGGTTTTCCAGTCCCACTCTACCTCTCCCTGCCATTCCTTCTCTCCCCTACGCTTCCCTCTCGCACCTTGCCCCGCATTCTGGTTTTCCAGTCCCACTCTACCTCTCCCTGCCATTCCTTCTCTCCCCTACGCTTCCCTCTCACGCCTTGCCCCGCATTCTGGTTTTCCAGTCCCACTCTACCTCTCCATGCCATTCCTTCTCTCCCCTACGCTTCCCTCTCACGCCTTGCCCCGCATTCTGGTTTTCCACTCTTCCTCTCCCTGCCATTCCTTCTCTCCCCTGCGCTTCCTTCTCGCACCTTGCCCCGCATTCTGGTTTTCCAGTCCCACTCCTCCTCTCCATGCCATTCCTTCTCTCCCCTACGCTTCCCTCTCACGCCTTGCCCCGCATTCTGGTTTTCCAGTCCCACTCTTCCTCTCCCTGCCATTCCTTCTCTCCCCTGCGCTTCCCTCTCGCACCTTGCCCCGCATTCTGGTTTTCCAGTCCCACTCTACCTCTCCCTGCCATTCCTTCTCTCCCCTGCGCTTCCCTCACGCGCCTTGCCCCGCATTCTGGTTTTCCAGTCCCACTCTACCTCTCCATGCCATTCCTTCTCTCCCCTACGCTTCCCTCTCACGCCTTGCCCCGCATTCTGGTTTTCCGGTCCCACTCTTCCTCTCCCTGCCATTCCTTCTCTCCCCTGCGCTTCTTTCAATAATCTGGCCCTACTCTCAGTTATTGTAGCCCCTCCCAACCTGTACTTGCTACACCGTCTGTCCCAAGCACATCCCTCTCTCTCACTGTCTTTAACTCTGTAACTATAGCCCCTCACATCCTGTCTTTGTATCTCCCTCAGAAGCCTTTTTCCAACCCCCCAACAGGATCGCCTCGGCATCGACGACGTCGTTGCCACTCTCATTCTCTCGTCGGATGAGACAATAGCTGACGGCAGAGGAAAAGCTAAGGGGCATCCCATCTACATGTCATTGGGAAACATTCATCATGAGGATCGCTGGAAGCCATACGGGCATGCGCTCATTGCAACGTTACCGGAGTTTCCGGCGGAGTACACGTCGGTTGACCGACTGCAGATCTTCCAGTATGTCTTGCACCTCGTTCTTCAACCATTGAAAGATGCTTCACACGTGTAAGTGCCCCCATACTCATCCCTGACCTACCCTGCTCGCCATGCTCGCCACATGATGCACTTCCTTTCAACACAATGGGCCTTGCTTCTGTGACTGCCCTCCTACTCATCTCTCTCCTCTCCTTCTCAGATTGCTGCCCCATGCTTCGCTCTTAGCATTCTTCCAACGTCGCTGCCCTTTTGCGTCCTTTACTTCCCTCCTCTCATCCCCGTACCCTCCTTCTCGGATTGCTGTGCCCATGCTTCCCTTCTCTCTAGTTGTCTTACCTCTTTGCCCCGTTGCCCACATTTCAATTTTTCAGGGGGACCCGTGTGCATGACCAGTCTGGTCACGTTTTCACGGCCTACCCAGCACTATACGCCTATGTGGCGGACTACCCAGAGACGTGCAAACTCACCTGCACCAAGTCTCTAGGTACATTATACCCCTGTTCCTTATGCAAGGTCCACAAAACTGAGTTAGACTCTTTCATGCAGAGAGACGAATATCGCTCATCCGAAGAACAAGATGTCATCTACAAGGCCGTCTCTGCACGGCAACGAGGTGGGCCTCACCCGCAAACCTACAGCACTCATCATGTAGAGGTATGTGCAAAACAATCCATTGTTCTTGCGTCATATACTAGTCATGTTTCACTCAACACTCTCCTGCCATTCTAAACCCGACGCAGTGCGCGCTTCATGGCTTCCGTTTCGAGTCAGAGCCGTGGGGCAGCCCTTATATGGCGGTGATGCCAGACCTAATGCATCAGGCTGATCTTGGCATGCTGGTGCACATTATTGCCGCCTTGAGAGGGGTCATTGATAAAAAATACCACGTCGCCATTGACGAGTACGTTACATCGCTTGACACCATTCTTTCTAATGTTCCACAGTGCATAAGACTAATGTATCTCTCTCTCTCCTTCCTTGCAGCATCTTGAAGCAGTTGAAGTTGACATGTCGGGTTGATGGTTTGCGCCTACCATCTGGAGAGTATTTCCGTCTAGGTGCTTCGTTCCAAGCTTACGAGCACAGGTCTGTCATGCAAATCCTTCCTTTCCTCATTCGAGACTATGTGGCGAAACCACACATGGACGCCGTTGTGGCATACATCGAGTGGTATCACACGTGTGGGAAGACGAGAGACTATGACGAGGAAACCTTGACAAAACTCGAGGAACAATCCAAGAGGTTCGTACGCTTTCTAAATTGCATGTACATAATTGTAATATGCCCTTCGACCTGACTACATCTTGTGTGAGTGTATTTGCAGGTTAATTGAGCTTCTAAAAAAGAGCTTCCCTCTCTACAAATGGGGATTTATCAAGACCCACTTGATGAGTCACTACATCGACGCAATTCGCCGTGCAGGCCCTCCACTCCACTATGATGCAAGCATGTTTGAGCACTTTCACAAGGACCATATCAAGAGGCCATACCGTGCATCCAACAAGCGTGACGCGGGTGGACAAATCATCCAAGCGGAGGAGGTACGCTTGCAACTGGATTCGCTACCTCAAGCCGACTTGGACACTACACACGAATACAGTAATGCAATGCGTCAGGTACGTATATTTTACAGTGACAATCAAGCCTTACTTTTCTCATGTTGAAGGATGGTACCAGTATGATTTTTTCATGAAATTTGTACAGGCATTGAAGATAGGAGCACGTACACTCTCTAAGAGTTCATGGGGGTTGATCGTTCACGCGCGTCGTCGCGAGCACCCATACGTCGGATTCTCCAAGCCTGACCCAAAGCGAGACCAATTGTATCTGGACAGCCTACATAACGACCTCCCATATCTTCGTCGTTCCATCAATCGTGACGTACCCAACGGCCCGAACATCGACACAATTTACGTACGTTACCCTTAGCACGCATTTGTTTGTTGCACTCCCGGCAACAATTACGTTATGCCTTTACTAATGATGCAATATGTGGCACACAACTGATGTACAGGTTCATGTTGAGTTGGCCATGCCACCCGCGACGGACGAGGCTTTTTCTAGCACCCCACACCGTATCCGAGCGGTTCCGCTATTCCACAAGAAAGTTTGGTTCAGTGATATTGCTATCCAAGGTACAGGATCGGAGTGGTACGGCAAGGTTTTGCTACTATTCCATGTCGGCCATGGTCTAGATCGACGCGAATTCGCATTCGTGAGGTATTATATCGAGCATGACGCGTTAGATGAATTGACCGGCTGCCGGCAATTCAGTTTAGAAGGGGTTTCTCAAAGGTACATGGTTGTAGAGACAGCTTCCATTCTTAGAGCTGTTCAATTAGTGCAGCTTGAGTCTGCAGGCCAGACATGGTTCCTCAACCATTTTCTGTTTTGATGGCTTTTTTTGTATATTTGTATATATTGAGTACTGATTGTTGTACAAATTTTGAAAAAGCAGGCACCACAATCGTGTACCTACTTTGTGGGAGAAGGGAGTGACGTGCGCTTGAAATCGTTTCCATAAAACTCATGTTTCCAGCTAATACAGTCACCGTGTTTCCCCTGCTTTTGAGTTGGAGTCGCCACGTTTGCTGGAATACCTTCGTCTAGGTCCACGTGGAGGATGTACTGTGGTCACCTCCACGGAAACTGACTGCAGTGCGGTATCGCGATTCGTCGTGAGCCCACGGTGAGGGTGTGCGATATTGCTCATGTCGCGCTGCAACAGCAACGATGTCGCTTGGTACAGAGCTCGACCAATCGCCCCAGCGACTTCCAACCACTTGCGACGACCAATCAGGAGCTCCCCGCCAATTTTTCTCAGCTGCAAACGATTGTAGAAATATGGTTTGTGCGACTATTCAGCTCAAACCCCAGTTTTTGTTTCTGCCGAGATGGTGAACCAACGCCCTATTACCCTTCCTGGAAATGATCCTCCTCCAGGCCGCCCTCAAAGACCCGTTGTGGTGCCTGCAAGGTACAATAATGGCGCACTTGGTGTTACGTTACCTGGGCGAAGACATTCTGTTATGGCTGCGAACGAAGGTTCAGCCGGTAACCAGCCTGATAACTCGACCATAAATCTGCATGGGATGTCGCCTGAGCAACTTCAAATTTTGCTCTCTCAAGTCAGTGCTGAGTTCACCCGCAAGAGCTCCTCCACTTCTGACTCTGCCAACTTCGTCGCACCAGATCTCGTCGACGACCAGCTGTCGTCGGACGAGCACGGTGCTGACAAGGCTGACGTAGGTCGCGATTTGCCATTAGAGCCCGAGGTAGACCCAATACTAGACGCTGGATCTGCTGACGGTAACTTGCCTGTCACACTTTCGCCGGCTCTAGAAGCAGCGGACGATGCGGACGAAAACGTCAGTGGCGAAAGCGAGGCCGACGACGACAGCGGTGACGACGACCGCTCCTTCCCTAGGCGCAAGAAGGGTTCCGTTGCTGCTATGCATGGCGGTGCTCCTAACACTACGTCGAAGCGGAAGCGCAAACGCCAGACGATACGGAAAGGTGAGGATGTATAAGGTTTTTTTTTTTATCGTAAACCGTTTCTGCCCATGTCTTGCCATTCACAGCAACATGCAAGGTACTTATATAAGACACCCGCCATTCTTTTACTTTTTTTGCAGAGATGGACGCCTGACATATTTTAACGTGTTACGTGTTTGTGGTGTATGGTGCCCGTATGATTGTGATGTGATATGCATGGTGTTTTGCAGAAGTTGTTCAGCCTGTTGACAGAGCCCAGGCTGCAGCTTCTGATCAGCAGCGCACGGTTGAGTTGCAGCAGGAGACATTGGCGGGCGTTCGGCGGCAACTGGAGGAGAGTCAGCGGGCGAATCAATTGCTCCAGGCAAGCAGGCCGGCCTCAACGTCTTCCGCGCTGCCCGTCAACGTTGCAAGCACTTTGCGAGGCCTCAACGATCACCGTTCAACTCTGGCGCCTGCAGTCGCACCTGGGGCGGTCGGACGCTCGTTGGCAACCTCCGTGATTCCTGCGCTGCTCGCGCCAAACGCCTCTCGCTCCCTTGGCACCCCCCTCGCTTATCCGGGAACCCCAACACCTCGACCAGATGCTCGTGAACCTTCGACCAAGCTTCCGGAATCGCTTACCGAGCTCACCTTTTTCACGGTAAGCCGTGGGCATTGATTCTGAGTACGCGCCGCCTGTCATACGTTTATACCTTCAATGTTCCGCTCGCAACCTCGTATTCCCACCCACCCACCCTCGTACCTTCATCCTATGCTCGCAACCTCGTATTCCCGCCCACCCACCCCCGTACCTTCTGTACCTTGGCTCTTGCTCCAACCTCGTATTCCCACCCACCCACCCTCGCAACCAATGCTTGGTTGGTAGAGCCATGGATCCATACATGCTTGCCTTCAACCGATATCTTGCACTTTGCATTTCCGTTTTGTGCATGGCAGGCAAAGTGCAACCAAGCGGTTCTCTACTTCGTTGCTGAGGCTCCCCCGAGGGAGATTAACTTCTGGCCTGAGCCGCAGGAGTTGAGGCAGCAACTCATCCGTACGTATCAGCTGGTGAACGTTTCTGAGGAAACGTTCAACCTTGTCATGAACTCTCACCCGGAACGGGAGAGGATTCTTAAAGACAAGGTCGGCGAGCGTCGGGGCAACCTCTTCACGCAGGTCAAGACGTGGGCACATGGGCCAGGCGGGTTCGTCAGGGAATCGAAGATTCCCATGCTGGCTGCTGAGAACATGGCGCCGGTGCAGCGCCGCAACGTCCAGCAGTGGCACCTTTTCTATTTCGATCGTAAGTACTCGGCTCGTTTTAACGTTGCATGCCCCGAGCACTTCCAGCCGTTTTTTCCTGAGATCCACATGTATTGTGCTTACATCGAGCTGATTTCTGTGCTTGCAGCCGTTTATGGCAGCAAGTGGCACTGCGATCCTGACACGGGGCGCCCGTTCGCCAACAAGGCGTTTGATATGGCGCTCTGCAAGGGACTTGGCGGTCGCAGGTGTAAGACGATGTTTGCCAAGATCCCAGTGGTGGCAACGATTTGCCATGTGGTGAGTTTGTTTCCCTTGCTTGTTTGTTTCCCTTGCCAACGATCCAGGTTTTGCTCGAGCACACCCTCTCTCTCTGTGCTCCCCATTCTGCTATGCACCTGTCCCTCACCGTCCTGATTTTTTCCAACACACCCTCTCTATCCCTGCTCCCCATTTTCCCATATATTTTCAAATGTACCCTGCAGGTTGAATGGCCCATGGCAAATGCGGGGAGCCGTGACACGCCTGCCCTAGATGGTAGTGACTCGAACAACAGGAGGGAAGTGCAGCTGAAAGTGGGGGTGATTATTGATTGGATTAAGGATAGGTTATCCCGTGGGGATAATATCTATCGCGACACTGCCCCTGCAGGCTTTCAGATGGGAGCAAACCCGTTAGTGCGTATTGTGATCGCAGGGTTTGAGGACGAGTTTGCTGGGTTGCTGCCAGGAACCCTGGTTTTCTAATTGTAGTTTTGCTGCTCTAATGTATGCTCAAATTTTGTACAGTAATTTGATAATCACATTGTTTTTTATTACTATTATTAGGGTGCTATCATTAATTAATGATTGGGTGTTTTCAGGAAGTTCAGGCCTAGTTATGGTGGCTTTTGAATGACTGTAAACAAGGACAATTTGCCTTTTTTTATCAGAACTAGAAACAACTGTGAATGGCACTCTGGTTCACTGCCATCTCAACCCCAGTAAGTGGAGAACTCTGACCCCGGCGCCATGCTGATTTACAGCCAATAAGGGCCATCCCCGGTAATTAACGGTCCGGCAATTATCGACCCGGAAACGGCTAAAGTCTGCCTTATTTACAGCCGGGCAATTATTGGGCATAAATACATTGTTTACAACCAAAGTATGGATGTTAACGCCCGGAAATAGACCCGACATTTTTGAGATGCTTGGATGCGGCATCAATGCCGTGAATGAGATCTGATTCTCCTTTTCTTCATTGAATGACAAGGACCATGCGGCAACTGCTCTCCTCTTCCGCTGTGCTCCCACGTTTCCTCATTCTCCTGCTCCCTCTTCCCTAGATCTCCCTCCCCTTCCCCTCCTCTCTGCATCAATCTCCCTCTCTTACCCCACCCCTCTCCAGTCCCGCCTTTCAAAGGGGTGTGACAGGTGTCTAACCTTCAAGTGCCACAAAAATAGCATTCACGTCATCGTGGAGGGGAACTGTGCGACCCTGCGTATCTTCCAGCTCGATCTTTGACGCCCCTAAAACAACGCTTCGCTCCCCCATTCGCTCTCCTCTTCAGTCCCACCCCGTTTCTGAAGGGGTTGTGAAAGTCGTGGTTCATCAATAAGGAATGCGTGACCATTCTTGAAGAATGCGTAACCACGTTAAGGACTTTTTAGGCGCCTACAAAAAAAAGGCCATATATAACTTCCAGGTCGATTCCTGAGCGCCTACTAAGAAAAACTCCCCTCTCCTCTCCCCCTACTTGCTGAAGTCCCGCCTCACAAGGAGATGTCAAAGGTGTGGGGCATTGACATCAACAGTGGTGACTGTCTGATTACCGACTAGTTACCAGGTCAAACTGTGAGGCGCCTCAGAAATATCTCCCCTGCCCCCACCGTCCCCCTCCCTCCTCTCACCCTCCGTCTCTTCTCCCTTTGCAGTCCCGCCTCTTCAGGAGTTGTCAAAGGTGTGGGGAATTGACATGGTCATTAGCGAGGACTGCGCGGACTCGTATAGCTTCCAGGTCGTGCGCGAGTGCGACGCAGACGGCTTCATTGTTTCCATCTAGTACGTCGCACTGTCCCCCATGTTGGTGCTGCTGCTGCTGCTGCTGCTTATATTGTCTATGAGATGATGATGGGTGCTTCCGGTGCTGATAATGCTGATGTAATGATGATGATGGGTGTTGGTAATCATGAGTGCTGCTGCTGATGATGGTCATTCGCGAATGCGCCAAGGAAGGCTTTGTCTCCATCTAGTACGTCGCACTGCCTCCCATGTTGGTGCTGCTGCTGCTGATGCTGGCGCTTGTGGTGGTGATGTGATAATGATGGGTGCTGCTGGTGTTGGTGATGGTGGTGGTGGTGTGCTGCTACTGCTTCTGCTGCTGCTGGTGCTTGTGGTGGTGATGTGATGATTTTGGTTGACGCTGCTGCTGCTGCTGCTGCTGCTGATGATGATGATGATGATGATGATGATGATGATGATGATGATGATGATGATGATGATGATGATGATGATGATGATGATGATGGTGGTGTTGCTGTTGCTGCAGCTGTATTGCTAGTGCTGCTGCTGCTGCTGCTGCTGCTGCTGCTGCTGCTGCTGCTGGTGATGTGATGTTATGTTGGTAATGTGATGATGAGGTGGTGATGCGATGATGATGGGTGGTGATGGGATGATGAGGACGCAACACCTCAAGTTCAGTTTGGCAATAAAGATCAGCCACCGTGCAATAACGATCAGCCACCGTGCAATAACGATCAGCCACCGTGCAATAACGATCAGCCACCGTGCAATAACGATCAGCCACCGCGCAATAACGATCAGCCACCGTGCAATAACGATCAGCCATCGTGCAATAACGATCAGCCACCGCGCTGAAATCACGTGTATTACATCCTCAAATTTCAGAAACCTTTTAACCCCGCAAAAAGAAACGATCATGTGCACCCTTGATCGTAAAAATGAGCTGGAGGTGACGCCTCCTGATATTTGCTGGTGCTGCTGGTGGTTACCATGATCACTGTTCATCCCTCTCGAAGCAAGCTCCTTCACTTCTCCATCCTTCCTCACCTCCCGCCTTGACCCCCGCCCTCGCGCCCTGCTCCCACGCCCTGCACCGCACCAGCCCAACGTCCATGAGCAACCAACAGGGGGTCAACACCATTCCAGACGTCATCCTTTTGTGAAGCAAGCTCACTCTCTTCCTCCCGCAACCCCTCTCATCCCTTCTTTTCTCTCTCCGCCCGGCCCGCCTCTGCGTCTCACCAGTCCGACATCCATCAACACGAAATTTGACACCATTCCAGATGTCATCACCAAACTCACACGACTCACCAACCTGTGAGCCTCTCACCTCCCTGTGAGCCTCTCACCTCCCTGTGAGCATCTCACCTCCCTGTGAGCCTCTCACCTCCCTGTGAGCGTCTCACCTCCCTGTGAGCCTCTCACCCCCCTGTGAGCCTCTCACCTCCCTGTGAGCCTCTCATTTCTTTGTGAGCCTCTCACCTCCCTGTGAGCATCTCACCTCCCTGTGAGCGTCTCACCTCCCTGTGAGCCTCTCACCTCCCTGCGAGCCTCTCACCACCCTGTGATACTCTGTCCCTTCTGTGAGCGATGGGAGTTGCGAAATTTGAACGTATTTTGAGGCAATTTGTCCATGTTGAAATTCATTTCTTTGTGCAGAGATGGAGGCTCACCCGTACGTGTGCATGGGTGCGCATCCATGCATGTATGCGTGTGCATGTGTGCATGTATGCGTGTGTACGTGTGCATGCATGCGTGTGTATGTGTGCATGCATGGGTGTGTATGTGCGCATTCATGCATATAAATATGTGCATGCTTGCGTGTCTGTTTGCTCATGTGCGTGTGAGCATGGCAGGAACCTAGAGTTTGTCGCCATTAGAGGCACCCTGCCCGCCAGCATGGGCAACATGACCAACCTGCAAGAGCTGTGAGCCGCTCCCCTCCATACACAGTGCTGCCCTCCGCACACTGTGCTGCCCTCCACACACTGTGCTGCCCTCCACACACTGTGCTGCCCTCCGCACACTGTGCTGGCCAGAGCCCAACACATAATCATGCTTTGTCTCTCCACCCCACATTCCTCTACTATTGTGCCGCCCCCCTCTATCATTGTCACCCCATTCTATCATTGTCACCCCATTCTATCATTGTCACCCCATTCATCATTGTCACACCCCTCCTTCTGGTCAAGAAGGGTGGTTAACCAGGGTGATTGGCAATGCCCCACCATGCCCACCTCCCACCTCTCTCCTCATCACCCTCTCCCTCCTTCCGACCGTGCAGGACAATCAGCCGGGTGGAATCGGGCAGCATCCCGGCCTCCTTTGGTAACATGGCCAGCCTGCAATCACTGTGAGCACCGCTTCCTTATTACAGCCACTCCCTGTGAGCACCACCTTCTCGATATATTCACTCCCGGCAAGCACCGCTTTCTAAATTCAGGCACTGCGCACTATGCAAAGAGCTGAGTATCCATACTAGGCAGGTTTACAAGCTTCTTCTGTCCAACTGCGTTCTCTTGACGGACGAGTCAGCGAGAGTGATTGAAATGGCCTTGCGGTATCCCTTTCTTGTACATCTCTCCCTAAACCCTGCTCTCTCTCTCTCTTACATCACCCCCCCTTGTGTGAGTGTTGAAGCAACAGCGTGAGTGATTGGCATGGCCTCACGACATCCCACCCCCCACCCTCTCCCTCGTTCATCCATGTCGCTCCGTTGTGTGCTGTGCAGGATCATCAGCGTGAGTGACAACGACTCCACAGGAGCTGCCCTCTCAGGGCCCATCCCTGAATCGTTCTCCAACCTCAAGAACCTCATCTCGCTGTAAGCACACTCATACATCGCAATCATCACACCCTCACCTCCCTGTAAGCACACCCTCACCTCGTTGTAAGCACACCCTCACCTCGCTGTAAGCACACCCTCACCTCGTTGTAAGGACACCCTCACCTCACTGTAACCACACCCACTCAAGAGCCTTTTCCTTCTTCCTTTCCTTTCCAAGCACATCCTGTCTTTCTATGATCAAAAACTCGTGTTTGTTGATTTGAAACTTCTCTAAGGAGGAATGGCACCCATGCCCTCCCACATGCATTTCATGCACCACTCACGTGTCTCTCCCTCCCACATGCATCTCATGCCCCACTCACGTGTCTCTCCCTCCCACATGCATCTCATGCACCACTCACGTGTCTCTCCCTCCCACATGCATCTCATGCCCCACTCACGTGTCTCTCCCTCCCACATGCATCTCATGCCCCACTCACGTGTCTCTCCCTCCCACATGCATCTCATGCCCCACTCACGTGTCTCTCCCTCCCACATGCACCCTATGCCCCACTCACATGCCTCACCCTCCAATTCCTCTATCCCTCCAACACCACTCTCCTACCCACACCACTCTCCCTCCCACATCACTCCCCCTCTCACACCTCCCCCCCTCCCACGCATCGCAGCGACCTCACCAACAACAACATTGGGCCGCTCACTGACAGCATCGGCACCATCCCCAACCTGGAGTACCTGTGAGTCCGGGCAGGAGGTGCTCGTTGGAGGGGAGGGTGGGGTATGAGGAGGAGGAGGCGGGTGAGGAGATGGTGGGTTGTGAGTGGGGGGGAGCGTTTTTTAAGAGGAAAGTGCTGTAAGGAAACGTGCATGCAACCAGTTTCCCATTTGTTAGGTCTTAAAGAGAAAGAATATCAACAGTCTCAGAGCCTCACGGCAACAGCATTTGTGAACGCTCGTCACTTTGTCCCTTGCAGCAAGCTCAATGGCAACAACTTCACAGGCAGCACCATTCCCAGCACCATCACCGCCCTTACAAACCTCGTTGAGCTGTAAGCCTTCACGATGAACCAGCACTTCACCTCACCGTGCCGCACGGCACCTCGCCTCACCTCACCTCACCTCACCGCACCTCACCTCACCTCACCATGCCTCACTTCACCGCACCCCACCCCATCTCAGCCCCTTCAGTGGGTTGAGCTATCCACTTACAACAAGAAGAAAGGCATGGAAGTCAGTAGAGTATGAAATACAATCCTATGTCTGCTGGAGTTCTGCCGTGCCACAATCCCATGTCGGCTGGGTCTCTGCCCTGCCACCATAAGAGCCCGAGCTACATGGGATTCAACTTCCCAGCTACAGCCTCTTCCTGGCTCTTCCCATCCTCTCCATCATACCAAGCCCATTCTCTCCCCCCCGCCATGCATGGCATGCATCCCTCCCTCCTCCCCTTTCCCCCCATCCCTTTCATGCTAATTCTGCCCATCCCCCGCCCCTACCTTTCCCCCAATAGGAGCCTCGACTACACGGGTGTGGGCGGCTCCATTCCATCCGGCCTTGGCTTGCTGTCCGATCTTCAAATCCTGTGAGTGCTGGTGCCCGCTGTGAGTGCTGGTGCCCGCTGTGAGTGCTGGTGCCCGCTGTGAGTGCTGGTGCCCGCTGTGAGTGCTGGTGCCCGCTGTGAGTGCTGGTGCCCGCTGTGAGTGCTGGTGCCTGCTGTGAGTGCTGGTGCCCGCTGTGAGTGCTGGTGCCCGCTGTGAGTGCTGGTGCTTGATGTGAGTGTTGTTTCCTGCTCAGTACTGCAGCATTTTTTGAGTTCTGCTGCTTTCGTTGAGTACTGCCTGCTGTAAATGCTGCCCTTATCCAATACTTCACCTTTCTTGCCATAATTCTCCGCTTCTCTTGGCCTCATGTCCTCAACTCACCACACATCATTGCCTTGCAAGTCCTCACCACTGAACACACTCCTGAATCTCAAGTGCAAGTATGATTCTCTGCCCACCCACACAGGAGGCTCGAGGGCAACAATCTGACTGGCACGCTTCCACCCACTCTGGGCGTACCATATCTGGACACCCTGTGAGATGAAGCGCCAGAGAACAAACTTGTGAGGCCACTTTGTGTTTGAACAAGTGGTTTGAGACGTCTCAAAACACCATATCTTGACACCCTGTAAGATGAATTGCCAGAGAACAGAATTCCTGGGCCATTTTTCATCTCCCTCGTGCTTTCCATTCCCCTGCCCACTCACTGACCCTCCCTTCTCACCACCCCAGCCAGCAGCAAATGCAATTCTACTGTTGCCTGCCCTGCCAGCAGCTCCCAGCCCTCTCACTGCCCCTTCTTTCCCACAGCCCCTGAACTCTCACTCCCCTTTCCCTCCCACTCACTGCCCTTGCGTGCAGAAAATACGATTCCACCATTGCCTGCCCTGCCAGAGGCACCCCGTGTGTGGTGGAGCAAAGAGAGTTCAGCAAGTTCTGCACCGTCTGTGCTACCTTTTGCTCCTCCTGCAGCCCGCCTGCACCTGGTGGGTGATTGCTACTTCATCCCTCCTGACAAAGGATCTGAACTCCCTCTCTGGTCGAACTTCAAGGAGTGAAGTTGTTAGTTGTTTATCCTTATGTCCATCCTTCCCCTTTCCCTTGTTTGTGTGCAGCCCCGGCATCCCAAGCCCCACCAACCGACGCCCCGGCATCCCAAGCTCCGGCATCCCAAGCTCCGGCATCCCAAGCCCCACCAACCGACGCCCCGGCATCCCAAGCTCCGGCATCCCAAGCTCCGGCATCCCAAGCCCCGGCATCCCAAGCTCCGGCATCCCAAGCTCCGGCATCCCAAGCCCCGGCATTAGAAGCACCCCCATCCGAAGCATCCCCATCAGGGCCTTCAATCTCTCCTCCCATCCCTGCATCGCCCTCGGAGTCTTCCCCTTCCCCTCTTCCTCTTCCCCCTCCTCCTGTTAAGCCCCCTCCATCCAACAACACCAACAACACCAACAACACCAACAACACCAACAACACCAGCGCCAACACCAACAACACCAGCGCCAACACCAACAACACCAGCGCCAACACCAACAACACCAGCGCCAACACCAACAAAACCAGCAATGCGAGCGCCAATGAGCCATCCGCCAGCGCGGGGCTGACCGTAGGAGCCATCGTGGGCATTGTGGTGGGCGTGCTGCTGCTGGTCGTCTGCGTCGTTGCCACCGTCTTCGTCGTCATTCGCTGCAGAAAGAAAATTGAAGGTGACCAAAGTTCCTCCTCTTTCTTCACTGATGCTTTTCTTTGACATAAAACGGCACCTCTGTGTATCATCACGGCATGTCCCACGGCACAAACACCATGACAGAATCACCATCTTCACTATATTTTTTTACCAGCCTAAAAATATTCACCACAAAGGATCTGTCGTACTGAAATGTGCTTCCGAACCTGTCACTCGCCGTCCCTAACCATACTGAAACACTCTGGTGCGCCTTGACTCGAATGCTGCCCTACCTGTGCAGTGGTTGAAGTGCCTAATGAATGCCAGTACTCTGCTTCAGCCGCAGCCCCTCTGGGCACCTATGCCAAGGACTACGTCAGTTACCAGCCAGATGCCACTGCAAAGGTCTAAGTATAGCAACTTGACGTCCCACCTGCACCTGCTACTCTTCGCCACACCTGCACCTGCTAAAAATGCCACAGCACTTGTGTGCTACAACTTTCTTGTGCTTGAACAATGGTACAATCTGCTACCACGGTGCTTGAATCTTGCCCTTTCTGATACTGTGAAGGAACCGGGTAGCGAGAATCTAGTCACCAATGCCCATTGCAGATGCTGGTTTTCATTTTCATTTCTAGGAGCTACTTGGTCTAGTACAGATGCTCTTTTTTTATCTGGGGACCAAATGCTTATTGTGTCCTACCTGATGAGGACCCGCCTTTCGATGCAAACACTTTAAGACCCTGGTCAACGCGTCAGACGCGGAATCTGACGTGTTGACCACGTCAGGTCGAAGTGATATCAGCTACAACATCTGGTTACATAGTTGGAAATTAGACGGCAAGATCAGGACGTCGACGCCCGCTATGTGTTCATCAAGCAGACATCCGGTTGTCATTGCCACTCCTCCCATATTCCGTCCCTCGTATTATCAACTGCACCTTGAAGTACAGCTGCAGGCCAATGCTCGAAGTATGAGTACAAGTGAATCAGACAGCGCCAGGCTGGTAACCAGCATCTGACTACACCTGGCCGGCAGCACCAGGCTGGTAACCAGCATACGCACCCTGGGGCGGCTTGTACTGGTTATCCCCTGCGTATGCTCCTGCAGCTTGAGTCGTGTATTCCACCTCCACCTCTGCAGAGAGGGAAGCACACACGCGGGTACAAGGACAAGTGAGGTGTTAAGGAATGCAAGGGGGGATAACATAGAGGAATAACGGAGGGGGGGTTCATGATCTAGACCCTCAGTTGATGAGTGCAAGCAGCAGAAACCACACAGAGCTAGGAAAAGAAGTGAGGTGTTGCCGCACTGAATGACGATAGAGACCCTGACAATTGAGAGGCGTCTCACAAATGGAGAGGAAAAGCATGTGCTCGTGCCGGTGCCTTTCAGGGGCTTACCTTTGGACCTCTTGCCACACTGAATGACAATGAAGACAACAGCAATGGTGCCAACAGTGAAGAGCAGCACGCCCACCACGATGCCCACGATGGCTCCTGTCGACAACCCCGAGCTGGAGGAGGAAGCATTGGCGCTGGCGTTGGCGTTGTTGTTGTTTGTGATGGTGGTGGTGCTGCTGCTGCTGCCGTCGAGGTTGGATGGAAGAGGCTCAAAAGGAGGAGGAGGTGGGGGAGGAGGAAGGGAAGGAGAAGACTCGGAGGGAGGTGCAGGGATGGGGGGAGAGATTGGAGGCTCCGATGGGGATGCCTCGGATGGTTCGGCAATGGATGGTTCGGCAATGGATGGTGGAGCATCGGACGCTGGGGCTGCACACAAAAAACAAGAGTATCAGAAACAAAAAGATTTACTTTCTCCAACAAGTGTTATTCGCCAGGTAGGCATGATGCAACAGATGGTGCTAGTGTTAGCCTTCAATCTCACACTTTGTACTTTGTATTTTCTATATCCTAGAATAGTGTAGCTTGCACATTGTGTTTGGTTGGGTGTACACCTACATCCCAACCAAACCCAAATGTAATCTCCAAGCAATCTCCAACCCACCAATTGGAGATTGCCTTGGGATTACCCCCTATCCCCTAGGGATTGCCTCTGATTCCCTTCCCCAACTATTCCTTACCCTACTTGGATGTACTTAAAGAGCTTCAAGCTCATTACTAATGTATCTCTTCTAAGCCTAAATACTGACATGGTATCAGAGCCCTTCAACCGCACACGCGGATCATGACACTCTTATCTCTGCGGATGTTCGTCCCGCAAACTTCGGCGTAACCGCCTTCAATCTCGTCGCCGTTGATTCGCGACATTCGTGGGCGGAAATTCTCCTGCACCACTTTCCCATCACTTTCGACGGCATCTACTATTTCTCTGGTAAGCGCATCGTCGGCGCTTTAACCTATCGCTCGTTTTCGTCGAACATCATCGTTTCATTCCCTCTCCTCGTCGGGCCGTCGCCCGTCACCCTACAGCTTCTCGTCGGGCCGTCGCCCGTCGCCCCGCAGCTTCTCGTCGGGCCGTCGCCCGTCGCCCCGCAGCTTCTCGTCGGGCCGTCGCTCGTCGCCCCGCAGCTTCTCGTCGGGCCGTCGCCCGTCACCCCGCAGCTTCTCGTCGGGCCGCCGCCCGTCGCCCAGCAGCTTCACCTTCGGGCTGCCGCCCGTCGCTCCGCATCTGCACTCCTACCCCCATCCCTCCCCCCCCCCCCTCCTTTCCCGCAACTACGCAGCCGAGCAGCAGTGTAGCCGCGAAGCCGAGCAGCCGTGTAGCCGCGAAGCCGAGCAGCAGCGTAGCCGCGAAGCTGAGGGTGGTGTGTGGGGGGGTGTGTGGGAATAGGATTAGTAGGTAGTTGACACTAAATTGGCGTTTCAGTCAAATTCTCCTTCAGAAACCCTAAACCTCAAAATTCTCTTTCGTAAACCCTAAACCTCTGGTTCTTCAAAATCTCCTTGGAAACCCCAAACCTCAAGTTCCTATCGGTGACTCAAGAGCAGCGCTCCGCGCGACACACTAAGGGTTCTCCATCATGGCATTCGCCTCGTCCACCATGGCCAACCCCATCAACCCACTCCGCCTTGAAGCCGATGGCTCTAGCTCCAACTTCAAGGCATGGAGCTATGGGGTTGACAAGCACCTCTTGAGTCGTGACGTGCAGGGACTGGACCTCAAGGACGTTCTCCTCAACCGTGGCAAGGGAAAACAGCCCCCTTCCCCCCTTGAGCCCCCCGAATCCGCTAGAGATACTGACATGAGGGCGTACGAGGAAGCTGTTGAGAAGTACCGGAAATGGGAGAAGGCCGATGCTGCTATTATCAGCGTCTTCATCGCCTCCACCCCTCCAGAACTTGTCAACACGTTCCATAACTACCCTACCTCCAACGCCATCTGGAAGTATCTCCAGGATCGGTTCATAAACAAGACTGCAGTCGGAGTTGCCATCCTCATCCCCAGCATGTTCCAGGACCGCCTTGAGGATTGCTCGAGAATGGCTGACTACATCGCCAAGGTGCAGACAATTCATGGCGAACTGAAGGAGCTGGGCATAGTCTTCTCTGGACAAGCCCCTGCAGCCGCCCTTCTTGTTGGTCTCACCTCGGCATATGAAGTAACGAGGAAGATGCTCCTCACGCTCTCAGCGGAAGACCTCACATTTGCCAAGGTCTCATCCGCACTCCTCTCTGCTGAGAAAGATTCCACGGCTCAAGCCAAGGCTTACGCCATCCGCGCTCCCATGCCGCAAGCAAGTGTCGCATCGGCCCTCGCCTCGGCGACCTTCCAGCGCAACTGCTTCCCTCCGTGCACCTATGTCGTCAAGTATGGCAACCGCAAGGGACAAGTGTGTGGTGTCAAACATTATATATGTTATGCTTGTGTAGGCTACAGTGGGTTAGCCTATAGGGGGTACACAATTCTAGGGTTTCCTACTTGTACTCTTTTCACTGCTAGTTCATCCACTCCTATTCACTTCTTTCACAAGGTATAGAGCAGGTCCTTCCTTAGGACCGTTTTTTATTTAGGGCCCACCGAAGCGCGCCCCGAGGCGCGCCTTTTTTTTAGCGACCCCTCGGGTCGCCATTTCCCTCGCGGCCCCGCTGTCCCTCAGACGCGGCCCCGCCACCCCTCCTGATCGCGGCCCCGCCGCCTGCTTGACGCGGCCCCGCCGCCTCCACTGACGCGGCCCCGCCGCCGGCTCTGACGCGGCCCTGCCGCCCGCTTCGTCGCGGCCCCGCCGCCTGCTTGACGCGGCCCTGCCGCCTCCACTGACGCGGCCCCGCCGCCGGCTCTGACGCGGCCCTGCCGCCCGCTTCGTCGCGGCCCCGCCGCCTGCTTGACGCGGCCCCGCCGCCTCCACTGACGCGGCCCCGCCGCCGGCTCTGACGCGGCCCTGCCGGCCCGCCGCTGCACCCTACGGCCCGCCGCTGCACCCTACGGCCCGCCGCCTCACCTGACGGCCCCGCCGCTGCACCTGCCGGCCCGCCGCTGCACCTGCCGGCCCGCCGCTGCACCCAGCGGCCCGCCGCTTCACCTGACGGCCCCGCCGCTGCACCTGCCGGCCCGCCGCTGCACCCTACGGCCCGCCGCTGCACCCTACGGCCCGCCGCCTCACCTGGTCGGCCCGCCGCTGCACCCTACGGCCCCGCCGCTGCACCTGTCGGCCCGCCGCTGCACCGGTCGACCCGCCGCTGCACCTGACGGCCCCGCCCCTGCATCTCCCGGCCGAGCCGCCCCAGCAGCAGAGCCGCCCCAGCAGCCGAACCGCCCGGGACCCGAGCCGCCCTGCCGCCGAGCCGCCCGGGAGCCGAGCCGCCCTGCACCCGAGCCGCCCTGCCGCCGAGCCGCCCGGGAGCCGAGCCGCCCTGCGCCCGAGCCGCCCAGCCGCCGAGCCGCCCGGGAGCCGAGCCGCTGTGCACCCGAGCCGCCCGGTCGCTGAGCCGCCTTTCTGCAGAGCTGCACGACCTGCCCTGCCTGGTGAGCACAGTCCCACTGACACTGCGAGCTCTTTCCCTACTGCTTGCACTGCGTCGCTGTCGTCGCCATGGCTACCCCTAGTGTCCTAGCTTTTGACGCTGAGGGTCGCGCCATTGATTTTGAGGTCTGGTTAGACGACCTGCAGCTGTTCTTACAGTGCGACAGGGCTGACGACCTTTCTCTCTTTGACCTCACCTCTGGCGCCTCTCCTGCTCCTGCTGCTGATGCTGATCCCACTGTCCGCTCTCAGTGGGCCACCCGCGATGCTGCTGCACGTCTTGCTGTGCGTCGCCACCTCCCTACCTCTGAGCGTGCGCACTTTAGTCAGTACAAGAGTGCTCAGACCTTGTACGACGCTGTAGTTGCGCGCTACTCCTCCCTTGCCACTGCTGCACTGAGCCGTCTCATGCTTCCCTACCTCTTTCGTGACCTCTCTGCCTTTCCCACTGTTGCTGACCTCATTACGCACCTCCGCACTAGTGACACTCGCTACCGCGCCGCCCTTCCTGCTGAGTTCTGCGCTAAGAACCCACCCCCCATGTACATCGCTCTCTACTACGTAGTCGCGCGCCTCCCTGACTCCCTTCGCGTCGTCAGGGACCACTTTCTCGCAGTCTGTCCCACCACCCTCACCGTCGACCTCCTCGAGAAGGCCCTCCTCGCAGCGGAGAAGAGCATAGTCGCTGTAGGTGCTTCTCGTGGTGACCCTCGCACCCCCATCTTTGAGGGGTGCTCTCCTTCCCCCTTGCTGCCCTCTGTTGCCTCTGCTGCTGCTGCCGACCTGCTTGGTCTTGAGTCGGTCGGTGCGGCGTCTACCCCTAGTGGGAGACGTCGCTCCAGCAAGGGCAAGGGGGGCAAGGGCGCGGGTGGAGCTGGAGGGGGCGGTGGCGGTGGCGGCGGTGGCGGCGGAGGGAGTGGGGGTGGCGGCGGGACTAGTGGCGGGGGTGGTGGTGGTGGTGGCAGCAGCGGCGGAGACGGTGGTGGTGGTGCCAGCGGTGGTGGTGGAGGCAGCGGCGGAGGTGGAGGCGGCGGAGGTGGAGGCGGCAGCGGAGGAGGCGGTGGTGGTGGAGGAGGTGGAGCTGGTCGGGGTGGTACCCAGCAGCGTAGCGGCGGTGGTGGTGGCCAGCGCTCGCAGCGGCAGCAGCAGCAGCGCTCGCGGGACATCCCTCCGCCTCATCAGCTTCGTGAGTGGTACGCTGGGCGTCAGAGGGGTGGGGGTACTGGTCCCTGCACCTACGTTCTTCGTTCCGGCGACCGCGCAGGTGAGCAGTGTGGGGGTGCCCACGCCACCCAGCGCTGCTTTGGCCGCCTGACGGACGCTTGGCGTCAGCAGTTCCCTGGGGCTAGTGAGATCCCTCGCTGGGATGAGCTTCTAAGGGCTGGTGTAGCGATCTTTGATCTTGATTTTGATGCTATCCTTGCTGCTATGTATGCTGTGGATTATAGTGAGGAGAATGAGGGTTACCGGTGTTTCCAGCCCGACCCGGGCATTGGTACTGCTGCGCTAGGTGCTTGTGAGGCTGCTGCTCTAGGTGCCAGTGCGTCTGTGCTCTCAGGTACTGCGTCCTCCCTCACCTTCACACTTGACTCCGGGGCTTCTCGCTCCTTCTTTCGAGACCGCACTACCCTTACGCCGCTCGGCCGGCCGGTTGCGGTCTCCCTTGCTGACCCCTCTGGGGGTCCTGTCCTGTCTCACTTCTCCACTGTCCTCCCGTGTCCGGCTGCCCCTTCGGGCACCCTGTCTGGTCTGTACCTTCCCTCGTTCTCTACGAACTTGGTGAGTGGAGCGGACCTGCAGGATGTGGGGGTTCACCAGTTCACTCCTGCGAGTCAGCGGGTGACCCACTGCACGGAGGCACGCACAGGCCGACACCTGGCCACGTTCTCGCGTCGGCCGGGGTCGAGTCTCTACACCCTGACCGTTGAGTCTCCTCCTGTCCCTGCGTCTGGTCAGGTGGCTGCGTCGGGTCAGGTGCTTGCTGCTGCGTCCCGGTCAGGTCCTGAGTCTGCCCCCTGTTCTTGTCGCCTCCTGTCTCACGAGACTCTCCTGTGGCACCACCGTCTTGGCCACCCCTCCTTGCCCCGTCTTCGGAGCATGGCTTCCCGTGTCCTTGTCTCTGGTCTTCCCCAGTCTCTCCCTCCTCTCCCCTCCGGGCCAGGACCTTCCTGTGTCCCCTGTGTCGAGGGTCGCCTCCGGGCTACTTCTCACTCCTCCCACTTCCCCTCGACAGAGGCTCCCCTGCAGACGCTTCACATGGACGTGTGGGGCCCAGCCCCCGTCCGTGGGCAGGGTCACGAGCGCTACTTCCTGTTGGTGGTTGACGACTACTCGCGTTACACCACAGTCCTCCCCTTGCGCAGCAAGGGTGCGGTCACTGAGGTGCTGATCGACTGGATCCGCGCAGCTCGTCTCCAGCTCAGGAAGAGCTTCGGCTCGGACTTTCCTGTTCTGCGTCTGCACTCGGACAGAGGCGGAGAGTTCTCTTCTCGCCTTCTGCGGGACTACTGTCGTGCACGGGGGATTCGCCAGACCTTCACGCTTCCGGACTCACCACAGCAAAATGGGATTGCTGAGCGCCGCATTGGCATGGTCATGGATGTCGCTCGTACGTCCATGATGCATGCGGCTGCCCCCCATTTTCTGTGGCCGTTTGCGGTGAGGTACGCGGCGCATCAGCTCAGCCTTCACCCCCGGGTCTCTCGGCCTGCGATGTCCCCAGCCTTGCTGTGGACGGGGAAGGTTGGCGATGCGTCTGTGTTCCGTGTCTGGGGATCT